CCTTGTGCGTCTGAATGCTACCTACCTAAGTACTTATCAACCTATTTTCTTGCCTACCTGATTACCTAGCTACCTACGTACTTTACTATATTGATAATATCATATAACTTGTATTAGAACATTACGCCGAGAAACATTTTGCTACAGCGACATTCTGTGAAGGAGACATTATGTGCCTAAACCAGAACACCTAAGTAATCTAGCGGTGACATTAAATTGCAATAAAAAAGTAGAAAAATAAATATATGTTAAGTTTATTAATGGTTTGTCATATTGAATAATCATATTTCTGATTCCCGTATTCCTAAATCTGATTCCCGTAGGCAGTAAATTTTATAATGTCAATATTTCGAAAATCTTTAATTTGAAATGAGTGCCTATGTCAAATATACCTTTGTTTCGTTCTATAATTTGACATACAGTGTAACATTACATCATAAATTGAAAAATGAAAACGACTACGGGAATCAGCCGAAGAACGCGATTTCGAAGAAGCACCCAAATTCACTGCAAATATTTTAGGGGCAGATCAAATAAAATATAAGCATGTACTAGGCAAATTTTTAGAGAAATCTACACGCTAGTTTTCAAAAAATTGCATTTAACTAAAAAAAACGAAGAAAGTGCACCCTGTTTGTCCTAGAAACTCACACTTCGATGAATTTAAATTACGCGCCAAAAAAAAGTGTTATGATTGGTTGGTTGTTAGTGTGCGTGCCGTGTAAGTGAATCCTGTCTACGAGGTGGAACGTCAGTTGGGTCAGTCAAAGGATGTTCACATAATTAATTAAAAAGTTTGTTTGAAAATGAAAAAAAAAAATCTAGCGTGTGGATTTTTTTTTAAATGCCTTAGATGTTTTTCTTATACATATTTACGAATGCCCTTAAAATATTTGCAGTGAATTTAATAGGACCTTATTTATGTTTCTTTGTTATATCTATCTGCCTATTCAACCGAAATACTGAGCGTCGAATTAAAGATACTTACCAGCGTAGCTACTATTACCGGTATATCAATCTACCCGTTTAATTGATTAACTTAATAGTGGTTTTTCTTAAGTTGGTCCAATAGAAAGGATGTGTCTATCTATACAGGGTGTAAGGGACACCTCTCCGAATAGTGATAGAGTGCATTCAGCCCATGAAACTGAACCACTTCCCATAAGAAAATATTTCAGCAGAGTTATAAAGTTTTTGACTTCCCATAGTAAGTGAATGCAGTCAGCTGATCGTACCTAATTCTGTATGGGTCAGTCTTTTCTTTACATCTTATGTAATTTAATTTAACCGTGAATATTCAGATAGTTAGCAATCTTTGATATCAAATTCAATCATTCTTAAATTCCAGATACCTATTGTGGTAAAATATACCTACAATGATATTTTAGTTACTCTGGTGATCTACTGGTTGAGGGCTGTCATGCTCTGTATGCTCTGGTTGTCAAACTGTGTTTACCACACATGAGTAACCTCAGTCAATGTACCCCAGTAATATCAACAAGGAACATCATCCAAGCAAATGCAATTTTTTTGATTCACCGGTGTTTAATCTGATTCATAGTAAGTAGGTATTATTGTCTAAGACTTAAGAATGTGTCCAAATACTAGAGCTAGAGGAGGGCAAGCGAAGGCATGGCGATTAACTCCTCCGATTTAAAGATGTTCAGAAGAGACACAGGAAAAGATGCAACATCGAGCCCTCTCAATTTGAGGTTTTGGCAGCACAACGGCCAGAATGGCGCAGTCTTGTAAAGAGACGAATCCGCGACTTTGAGGAGCAGCGTAAAGCAGACCTCGACACTAAACGCAATGAACTGAAGGCCCGTCCTCCCGCCGCCATTAACTACAATATATCAATGGCAAACTCACGTGCCCACACTGTGCACGGGAGTTTACGGCTAAAATCGGGCGGGCGCGGGCGCATCAGCGCCGACTTGATCAGGAGTTGAAGTGGTCGCCATGGCCGAAACTGGCCGGAGAGATCATCATCATCATCAATAGTCACTTACTTAGAACGGTCTCTTACTCGCAGGCTAAATGTTTTCGTTGTATGAATGTGTTGTAGGTGAAGCGTGTGTCACCATATGATAATGTTTTAGTGTTGTAGTTTTGAAAGTTTAACAATTACAGAAAGTTTGTAACTGTATACATAACGTATTTAATTGATTTGTTAAATAATAATTTTCAGTTCACTTAAGTATCTACAAATAGTTGCACAATTTGTAACTGTATACATAACGTATTTAATTGATTTGTTAAATAATAATTTTCAGTTCACTTAAATAGATACCTACAAATAGGTGCACAAACAAATAATCCAATAATTTCATTCTGATGTGTGAGGTGTGACCCACTGCAAATATGTTTATGCCATTGTACCATCAACATGATGATGACTGAGTTTATCCGGAAAAAAACGCGTAGGCATCATGTCGGTAATATAACTACTTTGGTAACTAAATAGCGGTGTCTGTGACTAGGTAAATATCGATCAGCACGTTGGCAATGACCCGTCAAGGTCTTTTTAGGAGATGCATCGATAACGCGGTCCTCGGCGGCGGTAAGTAGGTGATTGAATCGGTATCCAAAAACGGCACGGTAAACAAACTTATGCCTACTACCTACTCATCATTTCCATCAGAAGGTTCAGTCGACCCTATTTAGGATTTTCGCGTTCGTCTCTTGTTACATAGCCAGGGTTGGTACTGTCAAAAATCTCAAAGTATAAGAATATCACAACAGCAAAATTTGATTCTAAGCATTGTTCGGGACAACCATCTTCTTGGTTACCTGGAGTTCCCCTGAGATTCCAGATAGGTAAGTCAGAGAGCGTCAAAATCGTCACTTTTACTGAGTTAGCCATCTGTAAAGGCGCCCAAAGTAATTTATGTTATTTTAGAAATTACCTCTATTACGTAGGTATTGTATTGCATCCACTTGAAAATGAATTATCTTCATAAGAAAGATTTTAGTTTAGGTATAATACATCGTTGTTTTATTAATTGAATATTGGAATGTATGTGCGTTGAAGTCTTTTGTTTGCGCTTATTTAAACAGGCTATTAATTAAGTAGGTAGTTATTTAGGTAAGGTACTAACTTCAATTCCAAATCAAATATGGATTTGTATAGGTATTAAATGATGAAAACATTATCTCACGATGCTTGTCTTTATTAGATAAGTAACCATAAGTAGTTCCAAGTTTCAGGTTTTTATTGCATAGTCAAATTCACATACAAAGATGGTAAGTACAAATGACACCCTGTTAGTTAGGGTACAGCAACCGATTGAGCGCACAGTATTTTCTTACGTAGGTACTATATAACATAATAACAAGGCAAATTTCCGAAAACGGTAAAAATTGAAGTATCCATAGGCAAGGAGACAATTTTATTTTACAAAACGGAACATTTTATAAATGTTCCGTTTTGTACCTACGTCCTAAATGTTCATGCCCTCTAATTCTTTACGAGGCAAACAAGACAGCAATTAATATTTTTATTGGGGCCCGTCATCGGCTCATCAATATTAAACTCCGATTTCATCTCTCTTTACGTCCAATCTCGGAATTTTCCCTCTATGAAAGACATAAAATATACTAGGTAGGTAAGTACCAACTACACAGTGCATGAGATTTTCGTACGCAGTTCGTCCCATTAAAAAGGAAGATATTACAATCTCATCAAAACGAATCGGTACCTAACCTACCTAAGAAGTCATCATCATCTGCCTGCCGCCCTTATCCCAAATCAGTTTGTTAGAACTCAAAATCATGTAGCAAAATAATTTGACAATGTTTTATGACCGTCCGACTGCCTGACGTCAACCCACTTTGGGAATGCTATTGTAGGTGGTATAAGAGGTGGTATCACCGCTACTATGCTGTTGACCATAGCCGACAGATATTTAGCCAAGGTCTGCTCTACGTCGCCTTCTACGAAACGCCCTGAGTGGACTAGGGGTGGCAGTATTCTTAGCCGCTACCGAACGGTACCTACATTAGTACCTAAAGAAAAAATATTAAACAAAAATAAGTTTAATCTTTTACACGAGAAGGTTTAAACGTTTTAAACCCACACGTCTGTCGGCTTCTTGTCGGCTCGTTGAAGGCTCGGACAACAACTTAACTTTTTATATAATTTCATGTCAGTTGGCATACAACGGTATTTATAAACAGGAAAGATCTTGCATTTGTGTGTGTGTTTCTAAGAAATACTACTGAACCTATTTCATAAATTCTTTCACCATGAGTAATTATTATGCATGCATCATGATTGGTAAGCAACTAGGCTCTCTGCTCTTTACCTAACACGGAAAAATATTATTGTTCCCACGAGCAAAATATATTCAAAAGGCATCGATGACTAGATGGCCACGAATCACGAGTTAGGTACCTGCTAATCAGTATTCAGTGCTTTTTGCCGGATTATGTTAATCTTGCAATTTATCTTACCTCCGCAAAGTACCTCAAGGAGATTTGAAATTTTTCTTTCTGCGTACCTTGTCTGTTTGCTTAATCAAAAGCAAAAGAAATATCGTGGAACTTTGGTCTTATAATTCTGCTAATGAGGCCTCTTCTAACTTTTACGTATTGGGTGAAGTCGGGTGGGCCGCGCTAGTACTGTACGTTGTATGTGTGTGTATTTTAAATTACTTACCTACTTTTTGTCTTCCTTTTGTCCAAGGCTCGGTCAGATGATGTGTTGTTCTATTTCAAGTGCTCAATAAATAGGCTATCACATCGAGCTAGAACCATTGGATTGGTTTCAGTGTTTTCCGATTATAATATTTCGGGCTTTTGTGGGTGTAGGCCGTTAACTTTCAGAAATTAAAAGCAAAGTCGAGGCCGGAACGGGACAGAAGATGAGTTGATCTTGAGTTGATCGAAGACAAAGTCCAAATCAAGATCCAAACCACAGATTAACCATCTATTGGGATTTTAATGCACTCACAGTGCTATATTATTCTCACAAGTGAAAATAAGAAATAGAAAAAATGTCATACATCGACCGGGAATCGAACCCGGGCCGCGTAAAACGCCCACCGCTCTGCCACTGAGCTATCGATGTACCTGCCGATGGGTGCCAAATTTTCTATCTCTTGATGCTCGTCTTGAAGCGACGATCCAGCGACATCTATAGAAAGTGTTTAGAACTTACTATATGGTTAGTCCACATTATGAGTGGAATTCAAACCATATGATGAAGCTTGCTTAATCCATCTATTGGGATTTTAATGCACTCACAGTGCTATATTATTCTCACAAGTGAAAATAAGAAATAGAAAAAAAAAAAAATTTTTTTTTCCCAAAATCCCAATAGATGGATTAAGCAAGCTTCATCATATGGTTTGAATTCCACTCATAATGTGGACTAACCATATAGTAAGTTCTAAACACTTTCTATAGATGTCGCTGGATCGTCGCTTCAAGACGAGCATCAAGAGATAGAAAATTTGGCACCCATCGGCAGGTACATCGATAGCTCAGTGGCAGAGCGGTGGGGCGTTTACCCACGCGGCCCGGGTTCGATTCCCGGTCGATGTATGACATTTTTCCTATTTCTTATTTTCATCACAGATTAACCAGATACATGTAGACTAACAGAGATCCAAAGCTTTGAGTATTTACTCTGTTTGCATCACTATGATTGCAAAATGTCAGGATAGACACTACTTACATGTCAAAGTCAAGATATCCAAAGAGTAATATTATGATAACAATATACATCAAAACCATAATCAAAACCAAAGAATACCAGGGGGGTGTCAGCCGTTGCTCCGAATAGTCCTTGGTGTCGCTGCTATCACTTCATTTGACTGTGGCGGCGGAATTTAAATTTGGAATGAAAAACAATATTGTCGGAATCAATTTGATCTGTGACAATGACACTCTTATGACAAGACTTTTCAAATCTCGACGTGGCATTTGTTGTTGATTTCACCAAAAACGAATTTTTGGTGAAATTTGCAGAATTTCTTGAGTTGTCCTCGCATTAATGAATGTTTGAATTGATTCATCCTCACATAATCTAAATTTTGCATTAGTTAAATTGTCCGCGCATCATTTATTTCTCAAATTGTTGATAAGGGAGGCTTCCTTCGCAAAGTCTTCGGATGCGTAAACCTGAGGCGTGGACCATGACCTGAGACGTGGTAAGCTGTACCTTCCCTTTTTAGATTACGGGCTGATTACCTAAATATGACGATTCTTCATTTGCTCGTGTTTCCTTGTGAGTGGTTCCTTGTAATTATTTATTTAACTTGAACGGTTTTCCTTTCAGATCAAAAGCTTTGAGTGACCAAATTTACTTCAAGATTCAATCTGATGATAATGATGATGATGATTCTGACCTCACCTTATTTGCGGGAAAAGCAGGTATGTAATGTAATTAAAAATTAATATTGTGCACTTTGTACTTATTTTAGGCGCAAAACTGCCTCAGAAGGAGGGTTATGTTTTTCGAGAGTATGTTTAAGGATCAGTTTAACGAAATCTTTGTAGGCGTGCTCAGACTATGAAACCGAACAACTTTCCCATGGAACATATGGTAGTGAACGAAATATTTTGGCCTCCCATACAAAATATATGATCTGACATAAATTTTGTATAGAAGGTGAAAAAAATATTCTTTTACTAGAAAGGTACATTTTCTTTAAAATTAACTGCCTAACCTCTATCTTATTTATTTATTGTAAAAAGGATCATCAACATCATAACATATTTTACATTTTTAAGATAATATTATAAGTACTTATAGAACTAGTTTCTAATATGCAATAAAGATGAACACAGCATTCTTAAATTATAAATTATGAGCTAGGAAGGTGTGTGCTTATAGCAACACTATCTTATTTTAATGCTTATTAAAATAATCAAATTTCAGATCTTCATTTGCAACCTTCGCCCCTTCTTGTGAACACTGTACAAGCTTCTACATCTACCTAAAACGCCAGGCCGAATTCACGTTGAATTAATTAATATCAAACATCGCAATGGAAATTCCGATAAAACTCTTTGTAAGTGGTAATGTGGTACCTAAGTTTGTTGAACTACCTTGAATAAATGTAATTTGAAAATTTAATAAACTGACAATTTAATCCTGTTTTCTGAAGTTTTATTCAATTTCTTATTAATTTAATCAAAATCAATACAGTATACCCTACAGTAGAATGTCGCAGTTTTATCGATAATGACCGTACAGCACTAATTATCGATAGCGATAAATGTTTCGATGGACAGCACTATCAATTATACTACCTTCTTGGATTTACTATCGCCTTATGGTCATATTTAACATCTATGGTTAATGCCATAACACTAGCGCCACGAAGCATTAAATGATGTAGTGGGATAAGTGACTGTCTTATCTGTAGCTAGTCTACATACGCCTGTTCTCTTTTCAAACAAACAAGGTTTCCATACGAAAATATGGCTCTAGTGGCTAATGTTGCCTTATAATCACAGATCGTTTTATTTATATTGGCAACACTATCAAACTTACTGTCATATGGCTGTCTGTATGACTTTCAAAGTCATGTTTGATTTTGAAGTAAAACAATAAAACAAATTTTTCTCAAAGATTTTAAAAGAAAGCTGTGGATTTTTTCTTGAAACGGGGAGTGATCCCTGCTCCTGCACCAGGCTGAGTAACAGAATGGCAATGTCTTCGTACATCTACAAAATGTGGGCAAAATCAGGTGAGTGATAATTCGGTAGCCTTTCACCGGTTTCCGAAACCAGGCTCCACTAACATTATGAGGTAGGTAATGTATTTATGTGTATCAATACAATAGTCCTAGCAGTCCACAGCTGGACATAAACCATTCATGGGTGGTATTTTACATACTTACTCATCAAACTTCGAAGAAAAGTCGACAAGCCGATTGACTCAGATATCTGAAAATCTTGTAATATAATTTCGGACACATTTTACTTTATTATAGAACAATTAATCTAATGCATTTTGTATTTATTATCTATTTGTAGAGCAACAGCTTCGGCAACATTTTATAACCCAGAAGATGAGGATTGCTCTTCAGTGGACTCCTTAATTGCTCTCTATAGAAGTTGTAAACTTTTGTGTGGCAGACATTTCCAAGATTCTTGCTACCTTGTTGGTGCCAGGAAAAACTGAGTAAATATGCAGGTCCAGGAACGATGGAACATGTGATTCCTGACCATGACAAGATAATATGTAAAATAAAACTGAAAATTTGTAATAAATACATTCAACTTGATTTAGTTATTTTATTTTCTAGAACACGACAACGAGTATCTAAAATCTTTACTGAATTAATCAAGTTATGAAACAGTATTTCAAACATTTATTTATATTAAAAACATGTGCATACTGACTTGATTAGTTCAGTAAAGATAAAAAAAACTTAATATAATTTTTGAATTTGCTACGAAAGCCCGCCAATTTTTAGTTCACTCATAATTCACGGCTCCAATACGGTGGCGCTAGTAGTATAAATGAAGGGGCCACCTTCGTTGTTCACAGATGGCGTTCTTCTCCACGCCAGTGAGAGTATAGTATTCTTTGATTTAAACTCTCACTGGCATCAAAACAGTGAGAGTATAGTATTCTTTGATCAAAACATTGCACCCCACATGGCCCAAATATTTAAATATTTTCGTTTGTTCAGGGTACTATAAACCATCAATTTAAATAACTAATTCTCGATATCTCAAATATAGCCCTCAAGTATGTAAATCAGAGCTTGTAGAAAGGTACAAGTTTCAAACGCCTGAACTGTCTACATGTTCACATGTAAGTATTTTTTCCTATTGTTTTATACAAATCAGTGAGTAGTACGAACTCTAAATGTATTCTTAGAACCCAAAGAAAAAGAACACCATTCATAGTTTATGTTTATCGGTTATCATCACTCGACAATTATAGCTGTATCTATCTACTATCATCGTGCCATTCCATACGTGATCTGACCTGACCATACACGTGCCTTTGCATAGCAGCTCCACACAGTGTTCTACATGATAGCCAGAAATTACCATTTTAATTGTAGCAGCCACAACGTTTTTGGTACGTTCACAGGCGGATAGGCTGACAGGGTCACTCCGTGGAAAATATGGGAAAATCACAGTTCACGAGTGACGTGCAATCGCGCATGTGACGAGCACTTAATGGGATATTATAATTTTCGACCGCCCACAGCAGAAAGCGTTAAATTGGACGCAGTAGCACGTAAATAACTCCATGTCCATCCAATTAGATCTTCCATAACATGCCATGGCTACACAAAGTCGCCAAACTAACAAATATTGAAGATTAATCAGGCTTTTATTATTTTCAGACTCATGTCTTCATTTTTAAAGAACGTATCAAAATGTCGAGCAAGATTACCTTCCAGACCAACATTTTCTTTAGATACGAGTAGTTTAATGAAGCTCCATAAGGAAAGGAACAATTTGGTTATATACACTGTGCTAACGTTCGTTATAGTGTTTCTGCTGTACATGGGTACCAAGGACTGGAAGGGTGTGACCGCACCTGAGGAGGTGGACCTTGGATACGTGAGGGTTCAGCCGCCATTGCTACAACACAGACGAAAGCCCTGCCGTCGTCTCCACAGACATCACTTCCAACGAGAATGCAACGAAAACTAAACAATTTCAATCAGTAAAATCAATATTTTTTTTAACCTTATACTTAGGAAATGATGAATAAAAACACTGTAACATCCATTTACAAGTTTATTCGTAGTAATTTTCTTTTAGATCCTGCAGTAAAGTTTTAAAATCAGCGAAGCACGCATGAGCAACCTGTTTTTGTTGGAAGAGGCTTGTGGAAGCGATTCCGTAGAGCAGTCCACCCTGAACCAGCAAGTCACCAGCCAGGATCGGGCAGTGAGCAATTGTCTTCACGCATATCATGTTCGGCTGACGCTTCACAGGCAGACCCGGACAGAAGCAGTCCGTGCCTGTTCCGACGACCTGCACCGGCTGCCTCGACATAGACCTATCTGAATTACCATGCGATGTTCGACCAATCACAAAAGCACTTGTAGACTTATGAATTTCATCGTTACCAAATTGGACAACCTT